TGACCCATGGTAGAAATAGATGCGCATGGTTGTGAGAAATGTTGTGATGGTGCTTCATGATTGAGAGGATGGCCAGATGTGGAAGTTACTGGCGAATAATTGTGACTGCACTCGCGGTTTTGGACGAGAATTGGGGTTGTTTCCTGCGGTTGATGGGAAGACGATGGTCGGAGGTTGTAAAGGAAGGTGAGGGAGTGTCGGTGTTGTAGGGGTTTGGCGGCTTTAGTGGTGGGTGGTGGAAGTCATTGATGGAAGGAGGAGGTGGAACCGTAGCTGAGGAAGAAAATTGGGGAAAATTGAGAGAGACCCGTTTTCCGCGTTTTTGAATTTTGTGAAGGAAACGCCCAAAACGTCTAAAAAGACATTTTGGCTTTTCAGTTGATTATTATTTTTTTTTGTTTTCAAAAATCCATTTTCAAAAAGGGGAAAGAGAATGCATTTTCACTGTTTTGACCCTTATTTTTTCCCTAATTCCACCCCACCCTACCCACCATCGCCATCTAATGATGATTCTGCATTGCTGGGAGTTTTCTTAATTATAACGAGTTTTCTTAATCCTACTTTATTTTCACTCCTGTATGTATATGTTTTTGCTCTGAAATTGCGGGAGTTGATTTTTTAAATTTGTTTACTCTTGATATGGTTTCTTTATTCAAAATTTCGAACATTTTGATGATTTTTATTTTTGGACTTTTAGGATATATTTAATGATGAAACCGATGGAAGAGATAGTAGCAAGTATATGTCGAAAACTCTTTTGAAAGGAAAAGGCCATATAAAGAATTAGTTGTGAATGCCCCAGGTGCAATTCAACGAACCCAATGTTTTGATATTACAACAATTACATGTTGGGAAAACTTTACTGTCATAATGATCGTTCATGTTGGATAATCAAGAATCTGTAAATCGAAATGGAAGCGTACCTGAATCAGATATGGTTAATTCAATGATTTAGTCATGCGATTTTAGTCTTCCAGTTCAACACATAGTACTTTATTTCTCTTTGATGATGAGAGTCAGAATAGAATGAACAATTACTGTGATCCGAGGCCGAGGCCGAGGCCAAGGCCCATTGACCTCATTCGACCTATCGTGAAATTAGGAACATGTTGGTCTTTACACATAAATGACCATACTTTAATTAGATGCTTCAAATCCCAAAATAACAAAACCTTACTAGATCACTTTAAACGGGTTTAACCAAAATTGTTGGCCTTTAATTTAATACACAATATTTCACATATAAGCCCACATGTTCGATTAAGATCCTTATAATCTCCCACTTGGGCTATATGTATTACCTTATATTTGTGCATTAGACAAGGACGAGTCTCAGAATTTTTCTACCATTTTCGAATACATCCCTAAACAATCCAGTCCATCAATCAT